CAGTTGGGTTCAGCTCACGCTCCCCGAAGGGAACAGTACCGGATCCTCATGCCTCGCGTGCCCCTCCCGGTCGTTTACCATCTTGCCGCTGTTGTTGAGACTTGGTGCCCTTTGCCCTTCTCTTCGGCTTCTTCTTCTTGATGCCAGCCGTTACGCCGCCGCCGCCCTCCGCCCTCTGCATCGAGACGTTCTCTTTTCCCGCCATGCCCTCGTCCTCGTCGCTGTCCTCTGCCTCGCGCGCAACCATCGACGCCCCCTGCTCGACGCCGTCGGCGCCCTCGCAGCCCATGTAGACGCCGTCATCACCCTCGAGCGCTCGTCCGGCCTCACAGTCGTCGCCGCCCGCGCCATCGCCGTTCGGCATGACGCACCCAACAGACGCCCCCTCTCTCTGCTGCTCCCTCTCTGCATCCTGTGCATGCACCTCCGCTACTACATCCATGCTACACATCAACTCATCACGAGCGTCATCAGGCGCCATCTCACTCATGCACTCAACCTCCTCTCTCGCCGCGCTCGGCCCGCCCGTGAACTCATCGTCCATCTCAAGTCCGCACGCCGCCCATCTCGCGGCGAGGCCCCTCGGGCTCTCTGCCAGCTGCGCGTCGGGCCAGCCGCACCGTCGCACCGCCTCAACGTCGTCGACCTCAGCGTCATCGCCAGCCATCGACCCATCATACTGCTGCGTCGCGTGCCAAGCGGGCGCTCGGCGCACCGTCTCGTCGATCTCATCCTCCTCCTCCTCAGCCTCGTGCGCCGCGCCGTACATCTGTGTCGCCTGAGGCAATAGCGCGGCCGCGTCATCAGCAATCGTCTCGTCTAGATCGCCATCCATGTGAGCCGGCGCTGCACAAGCGCCGCCTTCGTCCTCATTTGCACCGCTAGTAGCCCGCGCTGCCCTCATCGCCTCGCCGCCATCCGGCATCAGCCACGCGCGCGCACCCACATCCGACGCTTCGCGCATGAGCCGCAGCGCCCTTACACGCCCGCCGTCGGCGAGCAGCGCGCTCTCCTCCTCGTCAGGCTCCGATAGACCCTCGAAGCCGCGCTCGATGCGCCTCTCGAGCAGCTCGCCCAGCTCCCGCTCCTGCTCGAGCCGAGCGTACTTGAACCGGCCCTCCTCTGCTCTCAGCCGCTCTCGCTCCTTGCCTTCGTCTCTCTTCTTGCGAAGCTCCTCGCGCCGCGCATCGGCCGTACCGTGCGTACGCACGAGCGTCTCTCCGCCCACGACGCGCACAAAACGCCCCGACTGCAGCTCCGCCGCGATGCCCTTCTCAAAGTCGGCCTCGCTCATCGGCACGCCCGCGCTGCCATTGGTCGGGTAGAACGTGCCGCAAAGTTGTTCGTCGAGAACGCGCCCGCGCCCGCCGGTATAGTGCCTTTGGTAATCACCGCCGTACGCTCCGCGCAGCCCGGCGTGCCCTCGCCTCATGCGCTCCAGCCAATTGCCGAACTCAGCTCGCAGATGATCGATCACCACCGTGTTGAGCGCGATGGCCCGTCCGACGTACCATTTGTTGAACTTGCGCCGCGCCTCCGCAAGCCGCTTGTAATCAAATTCGCTCCGCGGCCGCGCCTCCTCGCACTCGAGCTCATCCAGCTCGTCGTCATCGTCGGCCGCGGCCTCCGCCGTAGATTCCTGCCGCGAGGACTCGCACTGCCAACAGTCGGCCATCGCCGCTGCTCTGACCGAAGCCGCCGAGGGCGTCGCGAACGCGCCGCACAGCGCCTTGGCCGCTAGATATCTGCGGTACCTTCCCAGCTCACCCAGCTGTCTCTTCGCCAGCAGCGCCACTCTCGCCCATGCCAACTCGATGTGTAGGTCGCCCTCGCCCTCGCCGTTCTCCGCGCTCGGCACGTCGAGCATCGTCGCGTGCTGCTCGAGAGCCCTGCAGCACGCGCTTCTGGCCGCCTCGCTAATGCCGCTCGCGCACTCGAAGAAGTGAAAAAAGTCGCATCGACACTCAACGTGGCACGCCGGGCAGATGCAGAGGGGGAGCGTCTCGCCTTCGGTCGGCGTGCTCGACGCAACGCCCTCGCCAAGCTCAGGTAACACGCTCTGCGCAAAGTTCCGCAAGATGTGGCGCATGCCCACCCTCGTGAGCTCCACCTGGCTGCCGTAACCACCGCCTCTCTGTATCGAGAGGGCGCCCTGGATCCGCCGATCGAACAGCTGCTGCCCCTTGGTGACGTCCAAGCCCTCGCCTTCGAAGTCAAAGAAGGGAGTGGCGAAGAGGCGCCCCTCGAGCAGTTCCGGCGAGGCCGTCCCGTCGACTGCGCAGAGAAGATCGCGCTGTGCCTGCTCGAACATCGCTCGCGCGTCCCTGCCCGCTCGGCCCTCCCCGGTCATCTCATCATCGCTGGCCGGCCCTTCTTTTGCCAAAAAGATGAGCTCCTCGATCTCGGTCAGCGCCGCGCGCCCCCGTCGGAAAATCTGCCACACTTTGACCCCTTCCTTGATGAGCAACTGCACCGTGCACGTGTCAGCGAGCGCGCGCACTTTCTTGGACAGCCTCGTGTCGAGCTCCGCCGCCGATCTCTCGCCGTCTATCTGGTCCGCGCGCGTCAGCGGTGGGCCCCAAGTCTTGCCCGCACCACCCACCTTGCACAAGAAAACCAGCGTGCGCCGCACGACCAGTGGTGGCTCGCCGTCGAAGACGAGCAGCCGCGCCGCGTTGGCGACCGCGTCCGCCCACACGTTGGGAATGAACCCGCAGTGCGAGCTCAAGCGCAGCGTGTGCACCTCGGCATCCAACCTCTGCAGCCATCTGCGTAGCAGCAGCGCCTCTTCCATGCGCAGACCGTAGGTCTCGCCGCGCAGCCGTCTCACGTCTCCGTATCGCCATGCGCGCTCGAAAAAGTCGCAGATGTTCTCGCTGTCGATGATGACAAGCAAGTCACGCGCGCCGCTGCGCGCTCCGTCGCCCCACGTCACGGCGCCGTGGTCAGCACCGTCGCAGTCGTCCTCGTCAGCATTCGCTGCCGGCCCCATGGCGCCCTCGCAGTCGAGCAGCAGCCGTTGAAGAACCTCCAGAACCGTCAGGCCAGTCAGCAAGGCCACGTGCCGGCGCAGCGCGAGGATGAGCCCGTCGAGTTCGGCCTGGTTGTTGTCATAATGCGCCGGCAGCCGCCGCCCTTCCAGCATCGGACAGGTGCTGCCTAGCTGCTGCAGGCCATAAAAGACACCGCTCGCCACCTGCGGCGGCTCGTACGGTGCGCACAAGCGCAAGCTGCTTCGCTCCTCGTCGCTCGCCATCGCGTAACGCAGCGCCTCGCGCGCGCTGAGCGCCTTGGCCCTGACGAACGCGCCGTCAGTAGCCGCGACGAGAAGGAAACCGCCGCGTCCACGTGCGACGCAGGCGAGCTCGATCTTGCCAATCTCGCCCATGAGCGCCAGGTTGATGTCCGTAGCAATGAGCGCCGCCTCATCGCGCGCAATGTGCACCCTCAACGGTTCACCGTACGCGTTCGCAAAGAGCGCCCCCTCATCAGTGCACTCCACCACGCGATCGCGCATGAAGCTCCGCGTGACGGCGCTCTCGAGCGCCATCGGAGCACGCTCAAAGTGAGAAAGCACGTGCGCCGCTGTGCGCCACCCTCGCCATAGGCTGCCATTGCTCCGCCCATTAGTCCACGCGACGCCATCGTACCGAGCCTCGACGAGTGCGTCAGAGAACTTTGCCCCATCCACGTCGCGTGGGGCCGGCAGCACACGTACCGCCGCCACGCGATTCTCGAAGCCATTCGCCCGTCGTAGTTCGGCAGCGCACGTTGCTGACCACGCCGTCGTGTGCGCGCCGGCCACGTGCTTGCCGGCCTTATCCGCAGCCCTGTCCTCTCGCAGATTGACCTCTTTGGCGCAGACGCCCTTGGCGCGTAGCGCCGCGTAGTCAAGCAGCAGGAGGTCGATGAGCTCGATGCGCGCAGCGGCCGCACGCGGCTCGATGCCAGCCGAACGTCCGGCTTCGGCGAGGAACGTAGCAGCACGCGCCGGCCCTCGCAGCCGATGCAGGAAGCAGTTGAACGTGTTCGGCTCCCACCTCGAAACGTCGGCCTCATCCATCCAGGCGATCGCCTCGTCAATCTCGTTAAGCTCAGCATACTCGGCCGACGCGCAGTGCGAGCTCACCGCCGCCGTCGCGTCGCGTCTCGCCGCGTCACGCCTAGCCGCGCCCTCCAGCACTTGCGCCCGTGTGAGCCATACCGCGTCGCGCCGCCGAGCGCCGCAAAAGATCACCTCATAGGAGCGCTCGTCGGGCCGGCCACCGCCAGCGTCCTTGCACCACAGAATCCCCGCGATCCGCGAGAGCATGCTCAGCGCCCTGCGCCTGCCCACGTTGATCAACTCAGTGAGCGCGATCTCGCCCTCCATCCGCACACCGCGCTCTCGCCACTCGCCGAGCGCAACCTTCGCGCGCGCGTCGTCGGCAACCTCGCGCAGCAGCCGTCGCACGTGCGCCTTGTCAATGTCGCTCCAAGCCCATCCAGGCCTCGCGTAAATGAGCTCGATTCGCTCGGCGCTCAGCAGCTCGCCACAGCCCGCGTGTAGCTCGTCGAGGCTATTGATTCCGAGCCCGTGCAGACGCAGCGAAGGCGTGACGTTAGTCATGTTGATGAGCCGCGCCTTGGTTGCCGCCTGTTCGCCGCGAGCAGCTGCTCGCCGTGCATCAGCCGCGCACTCAGCCACGCCAGTGCCGCGCCAGTTGAGGCCGAGCTTTGCCAAGTGCAACGCCACGCACTCGCTCGGCACGTCGAGCCGTAGCAACGGTAGCCAGCGCTCCGAGATCACGAAGTCGAAGGCCGTAGGTGCCTCGTGCGACGGGCCGTCCCAGCCGAGGCTTGCCGCAAAGACTAAGTGCGCCGCGAGCTGCACCGCGCGTGCGGGCTCGCCTCGCCGACCGCTGAACGCGCGCGCGCGTTCATCAATAATGCCCGCCGCCATCGTCGACTGCGCTGGCCGCAGTCCGAGCCCTCCAGACTTGCTCGAGATGAAGGCACCCACGATCTTGGTGTGCCGTAGCCGGTTGCCGTGATTGCATAAGACCTTGGTGGCCTTGGCATTGAGCGCCTTGGCGGCCTTTTCCGTGAACGGGATGGTCCTCGCCGGAAAAATGAAGATACCTTGCCAGACCGTATTGATTGCCAGCGCTAGCTGATCACAGCTGCCGCCACCCAAGTTGTTGATCATGGTGACGATGGCGCTGGCCCGTGCTCGATACGTTTCCTCAACCTTGTTGATGTCGAGGTCCGGGTCGAAGTCGACTCCCAAGTAGCGATAGCTAACCGCTCGCGCGAGCTCAATATCCTCCCGCGAGATGCCCAGCGGTACTCTGAACTTGGTGCCGTTGCCGCGCACAAACTCGTTCCGCAGCTTGTCCCAAATCCAGGAAAGAGACGCCGACTTCGACGCCTCGACCACGTCGTGCCCGACCTTGAGTCCTAAAATCTCCTCCGACAGGAAGATCATCAGGTCAACAGCCGTCTGGATGACACCCTCGATGGAGTCGGCCAACGCGCCGTCGTCGGCGTACCAAAGTTGAAGCGCCGCGACACGCAGCTCGCGCCGGCCCGGCAGTGGGCTGCCCGGCACGTAGATCTCGAGTGCACGCTGTACGAGCGCCGCTACAGGCAGCGAAAACAACGGCGACTCGACGCCGCCGATGGGCTCGCCTCTCAGCATCGGGGCGAGCTCGGTGGGACCGCCCGCCGTCTTGAACGCGCCCATCACTTGATCTTGGACTTCTCGAAGAATCTGCATCGAGACTGTGCTCGCGCCCAGCTCGTGCAGGATGAAGGCGACAAGCTGCCTCGAGACCGACGGAAAGAAGACGGAGTAATCCTGCAGGTAGATGTGGAGGGGCTGCCGCAGCCGCATGTGTAGCTCCAGCCGTGCACGCAGTGCCGCCGACTGCTCGGGACAACCACGCCCGGCCTCGAAGCCCGCGTTGCACCACGGCCGAGTGCGCGCGAAAACCTCGGCGCACTCGGGAAGAATGGCGCCGACCACCATCTTCCACAGGTGCGCTTGAATCCAGATCTCGCGCCACCCGCTCAGCTTGCACCTGTCCTTGCCCGGCTTCGGGATCAGCGTAGCGTGCCATGTCGTCCAGCTCGTCGGGAAGGAGAAAGCCGCCACCTCGGTCGCGATAGACTCGGCGAAGAGCTTGGCGAGCTCGGGCCCACCCTGCTTGATGAGCACGACGTTGAACTCGTCGAGCCCGGTCGCCAGCTTCTCCTTGACGGACTTGGTCAACTGCATCACCCGTTCCGGAGTGAGCACGCGCTGTAGCAACGCGAGCACACGCCGATCAATGCATTTCTCGCCCGTCTCGTTGAACTCTAGTTGGTATTCGCCCGTCCAGTACTCGTATACTCTGTCCTTGTCTCCCTCCGACGCGTCCGACGCATCGATGGCAGAGCGAAGCCTATCGCGCCATAACTGATCCTCGAAGGCGCGCCGTTGCTGCGCGCGCTGCTCCTCGGTCTGCACGCCCTGCGAAACCGCCGTTTCACCTCCAGCGTCGAGCTCGATCTCCATGTCGTCGCCGTTGTACTCAGCGTGCGCCTCGGACTCCTCAGCAGCCATGTCAGAGCCCGTGGAGCCCCCCCCTCTGGTTCTCAGGCTCTCGCTCCGCGCGCTCGCCCCGGCGCCCTCCTCCCCTGTTGCAGCCTCGCTGTCGCCCATCGCCGCCGGGCCAGCAGGCGCGCGATCAGCCTCACCGTGGACAGGTGGAATGAGTGGAATGAGTGCGTCTGCATCAGCGCCACGCTCGTCATCGCAGTCGTTGCACTCCCCGGCCAGCTTAGCAGCCTTCTCGTCGAGCCTCTTCTGCGCGCGCTCGTTGCACAGCCGTGCCACGAACCTCAGGTGACAACGCTTGGGCTCGCACGTGCAGTCGAGCACGACCCGCTTGCCAAGCTCGATCGCGATGCTGACGAGCGAGTTGATCTCGTTGTCGATGTCGATGGGATTGACGCGCCCGAGTCCCGGTGCCACGCACTCGATCGGAAGCCCCTTTTCCACCGCCGTTTCGTACGCGTCCTTGCCGTGCACGTACCAGATCTCGTAGCACTCGCAGACGAGATCGCGAAGAGCCTCGTCTTTGCCGTCCACGCCCATCTTGAACGGGTTGCCCAGCAGCCCGTGCCTGGTACCGTCATAGCGCACCCGCCCTTGATGCGCATCGTTGGGGAACTGGACATTACCCACAACGAATAGCTCGCCCGCTGGAGGACGTTGACACTTCTCCACGCGCTCGCTCTTGGCAGCGAAGCGCGGGCGCCTCGATAGTCTGCTCTCCGCATCTTCGACTATTTGATGCGCTGCACCCGCTTCGCGCGCCGTTGCGCCGCCGCGCGTCTCGCCGCGCTCAATAGCGCACCTATGCATAAGATGGCCCGCCGCCTCGAGGCACACGATGTTGGGCGTATTGGCCGCGCGCACTTTGGCCGCCACAGCCTTGTCGCGCGCCGCGCCCGTGAGCATGTTGCCGGTCGCCTCGTCCTCGATGGCCACGAGCTGCCCGCCCGGACCCCGATCCTTTTTCGACATTAGCCCAGCCCGCTCGCGCCGAATGACCTCGGCCGCCGCCCTCGCGTATCCCAGCTCCCTTTCGGCCAGGACCTGCAGCTGCTCGTTTACGTAGTCGAGGCGCACGTCGAGCCGATGCTCGTCAATCTCCTTGACGCTCGCGTCGACGCACCGGCGCACGAGTAGGAGCTCACGCTCGCGGCGTGCAGGTGCAGCCATCAGCCCCGAGTCGCGTAGAAAGAGGTGTCGCAGCTCGGGAGTGAGCGCGCTCTCCCTGCGATGCCATCTCGCCGGAAACTTGCCATAAAAGCCGAACTCGAGGTCCGACGGCCGCGCCTCCTCAATCTCCCGCTCGATCTCGAGGTACTTGTCGAGCTTCCGCCGGAGCACCTCACTCGCCGTCTGCTTCCGGCCCTTTCTCGCCGCCGGCGCGCCGATGACCTTGCGCGCCACCGACATGCACGACTGCATCATGTGATCCACGAGCGTGCCGTGCGTCGCCTCGTAGTTGGCCTCGGCCTCGTCTCTCGCCAGCCCCTTGGCACGCCCGTCGGCCCGCGGCCCCTCCTTGACGATGAGCTGCCTCAGCGCCTCGGCGCACGCCGCCTCGCGCCCAGCAACCCAATCCTTCATCGTGTTGCTGCACTCGCCGACGACCTGCTCTTGATACGCTACCCAGCCAATCGGCTCCGAATCCTCGTCGCTCGCCTCGGGCGCCTCCTCGAGCTCCCGGTCGCTCACGTCCGCCTCGGCGTCGTCAACGAGCCCGCCGTGCCCGTCGTCGCCTCGATCAGGTAACGCGTGCGCTCGCGCAATCGCCTGCTTGGCCGCGCTCGCGCCGCTCTTCTTCGCCGACTTGGACTTCTTGGTCGGCTGCTTGGGCATCTTTGCGAGCTTGGGCTTGCGCGCCGTCTTCACGACCACCTCCTCGCAGTCGGTGGTGATGATGTCGAAGCCGAGCGCGCGGTGGTATTGCTTCTGCGCCTCCGCGCCGACCTTGACCGTGAACGTCTGCCCGCCCCCGATGCGCCCGTAGCAGCCGCCGTGCAGTACGTGATCGATCACGTGCTTGCTGATCTCGCCCTCAGTCTCCTTGCCCTCAGAGTCGATGGACGGCGTCTTGATCACGTGCAGCAGGGTGAAGTCCTCTCGGCCCAGCCGCACCGGTCGCTCCAGCTCGTCGAGCGCCGATCCGTGCATGAGCTTGTGCAGAAAGGCCTCGCCCGGCCGCTTGCACGCGCCCCCCTTATCGAGGTCGATGCCGTGCATGCTCTTGAGCCTCTTGGCCGTTTCGGCGTTGAGGTCGCCCGCGATCACGTACGGCATGTGCGCGACAAGCAGCGCCTCTTCGAGCTTACCCCAGACCTTGGCGTGCAGCTCCTTTGGCAGGTTCTGCTGCGGCATGTAGCACGCGTAGATCAACATCTTGGTCGAGTCGTCAATCATGCGCACCTCGACCTCGAGCAGCCGCCCGGGTACGAGCACCTGCGTCCCGATCACCTTGAAGACGCACGGATCGTAAGCGAGCAGCACGCCGGCCCACTCGCCCTTGGCCGCCGGGGCTTGGACCACGCAGGGCGTGTACTCGGGTGCTCCTGCGCTGCAACGTTTGGACAAGTCCTGCCATCCCAGGCGCATGCCGATATAGTCCGCCACGTCGTCGACGGCCTTGCCGTGCAGGTGCGTCTCCGACAGCATGAACATGTGCGCGTGCCTGCCCTTGACCTCGTCGATGATGGCCTCGAGCGCCTCGCAGCCCCGGAAGCGCAGCGCCGTCCCTCGGCCGACGTCGCCGCCGCCGTCCTCGGCGTCCTCATGCTCGAGCGTCTCGGCAAGCGCGCGATCGCGCTCCTCAGTCTGTACGGCAGCGCCGCCCGTACTCTTTCGCTTGGCCCGCCGGCCACGATCGCTGAGCCGCCGTTCGGCTCGCGCCTCGCGAACGCTGACGCCGCCTGGATTCCAGACGAGGCAAGTTCGCCGCCTCTTGACCTCGAACACCGCTCGCGGTGCCGAGGCCGTCGTGGGCACCACGCCCTCCGCCTTCTCGATCGCGTCGCGCCGCAGCTTCTCGAGCAGCTGTCCAGCGTCTCCAATCGCGCTCTCCATCTTGCGCGCCTTGGCCTCTTCCGCCAGCCTCCCAGCGCCGGCCAGATTCCGACCGAGCGCCGCCTTGTGCGACGCCGCGCGTGCGCGGATCGCCTGCGCGTACTCGTACTTGCGGTCGATGATGGATTGTGCCGCCAGCGAGAGCCACCCTTCCAACAGCGCGGCGGAGAGCATGTGATTCTCTCGAAGCACGTCGAGATGCAGTGGCAGCTTGCCATTGGGAGCATGGCGCAGCGCGCCGAGGAGAGCCTCGCTTGAGAAGCCTATGATGCTCTCTAGCGGCAGCGCCGGCTGCAGCGCTGGACATAAGTCCCTCGCGCACAACTCGGCCACGGCGTCAGCGATCAGGTGCCACGGGAGCGCTCGCTCGAAGCGCGCTCGCGCTTCCGACCGCGACATGGCTGCGACGAGACCGGTCTGGCCGATGGAGTGAAGGCACTGCGCGACGAGCCACTGGGCCCAATTGCGCTTGGGCGGCATGCGCGCCGCGCCATCTTCACTCGGCTGATCGGCCGCAGCCTGCGACTGCGTGCCAGCGGAAACGCCCAGTGATTCCGCCTGCGACTGCGTGCCCAGCGGCTCAGCGGGGGCATCCGTCTGCATCTGCATAGCATCAGGGCCGCACGCGCCGCCGATGCGCAATGACACGCCCTCAATCCGGCCTGCGTCGAGACCGGCGCGCCTCGCAGCGGGCGCAGGCCCGTCCCATCTCGACGGCGGAGGTACTGGCGCGAAGCCAGCGAGCTCGCCCACGTATGCATGCAACACGCGCTGCAGGGCTCCGGCTCGGAGCGCCAGCCCTTCGCCCGCGCGAAATCGAGCGGCGCGCTCTCCGTTTCCGGTGCCTGCTGGAGAATCGCCATTAGCTTCCGCGTGCGGCGAGCGAGTGTCCGTGTGAGTGCCGTTACGCGCAGACTGCGCAGATTTCTGGAGTGATGCCGAGCTCGCGGTGCTGACAGCGCTGTCATCATTGCTGCCCGCATGCGCACGTAGCAGCTCGCTGATTCTGCGAGCTCCTCTCACACTCGTCACCCGAGGAATCTCGCTCGAGTTTGAGAGCAGGACGCTCGCGTCGCCGCTCGGGATCCCGACCAGGTTGACGCCGTCCTCAGCAAGCAGTCGCCAGAGTGGCACCCGCTGTTGTCCCAGCGTAGTCTGTCTGCGCGGTCGATGCGTGGCGAGTTGAAGCAAGCTGCCCGGCCACTTGGCACCGTACGGATAATCCTTTGGCGACCATGTGCTGCCTTTGACACGGAACTCGACGAGCGCCTCCGCGTCGCCGGCCTCGTCGACAGAGAAACCACGGATGACGGCGAAGCGCCAGGCCTCATGCGGCAGCTGCCCCGGCTCGAGCTCGAGCCTGCAGAAAACCGACATCCCGATCTCAGCAGCAACCCCGTTGCTGGCGAGCGCCGTGTAGATTGCACGTCGCGAGCGCCGCAGAGCGTAGATCACCGCCTTGGCATCCGCAATTAATGGAAGCGGTGGTGGTGGCGGTGGCCGTGACGACGGCTGCGATGGCGACGTTGGTGGAGGCTGCAGCGACGGTGGTGGGAGCAGGGAAGGCGATGAAGATGAAGGTGACGAAGGTGAGGAAGGTGATGAAGATGAAGGAGAAGAAGAAGAAGAAGATGGAGATGGTGACGATGGCGGAGGAGGAGGAAGTGGCGGTGGCGGTGGCGGTGAAGCCGGTAAGGGCGACGATGATGGAGGGAAGACGAGGTTGAAGGCGCGCGCGTGAGCGTCGTGCGCCGCCGAGGCAGCCACCATCTGCTCGATATCGCGCTCTTTGTTGACTCTCTGGACCGCGTCATCGCCCGGCGTGCCGATACCTTTCATGCAATCGCGCGATCGCTCGCCTTTGTCGGCGGCAGTGCTGCCCGCTCCGCCTTGCGCCTTGCGCATGGCATCTTCATGTACGGCAGTGACCACGACCACTGTCCCTGCTGCCTTCGTAGCGCCTGTGGCAGCCGCGGTTGCCGCTGCGGTAATCGCGGCGGCCTGACTAGCGGCAAGGCGCTCACGAAGCAACGCCAGCAGCGCATCGTAATCGTCGAGGACTCCGTCATCTACGCCTAGAGCTGAAAGCGCCTTGAGTAGCCCCTCCTTGAGAATGTCGCGCGGCTTCCGCATCTTGTTGGCTCCGCCCAGTTGGCGTATGACGAAAGCGATCGTCTTTTCGCCGGCATCGGACTTATTGACGTTGCCGCCCGACACTGTGATGCGATGCCGAGGCAAGGGCGGTGGCGGGCGAGCGGCCTCCTCGGCGAAGCGCACTCGCCTGGCGTCAGCGTGACGCGGTACGCACCGTGCGCAATCGCACCCCTGCCGACAGGGGCAGAGACTCGTCGCAACCGCGCCCTTGGACACCGCCTTGGGGGCCATCTGTTCTCCCCCGTGCGTGCGCTGCGCTGCGTTCGAGCCGGCCGGTTTGATCTCCGGCGCATCCTGGTAGTATCCGAGCCCATGCTCACCCTGCTTGAAAACTTTGCCAGAGACGGCGCCCGTCCAGGTCTTGCTGCTGACGAAGGAGGCTGGGGGCGCGTTCTTCACGGCGCCCTTAGGTGCACCAGCCCGTGCCACCCCAGGTGAGGCGCTGTCAGCGGCGCGGCGCGCCGCAGCCGCTCGCCAGTCACGTTGCTCGAGGCGTGCCGGCTCCCGAGACTCACGCACCGGCCGTCCGTTTGACGAAACTGCTCTGCTCGCTCCTCTGGTGCCGTCGGCCGAAGCACCGTTGGCAGCTACGCGCGACTCCAGGCTCACCTCGTACGCCACGGTGATCCAGTGTGGGTGCCCGAGCACGCACTCTCCGTTAGACAGCTGATTGGCAACTGCCGCTATCTTGAGCTTCCTGCCGCCGCCGGCGCCGACTGACTCGATGTCGTTGACGAGCACGTGACAGAGCAGGTCCACAGGAACTACGGAACACCATTCGAAGTAACCGGCGTAGGCAGCGCCGCCATTTGCAGACGGCCGCACCGTGTCGAGCACTCTGCCCACGTCAGTCTCGTCGAGCAAGCGCGCTGGCTCGAAACCGAGCTCGGCGCTGATGCGCTGTACGAAAGCACCGTCGGTTGCGAGGCTGACGTCAGCGTCTCGGATAGCACTCCAGAGAGGCCCCGCTGCGGCGAGCGCGCCGCAGGCACCGCCCGCGGCGATCCCGCAGCCATTCTTCCCCTGCAGAGGCCTATTGCCGCATACTTCATGCGTAACCTCGGCGCCTAGTTCGCGCAACCATCGGGCCGCCTCATTGATGAGGTAGCCACGCTCGAGGAAATCGATGACCCTCGCGTGCACGACGACGCCGGGCGGTAGGCGAGGCGCCTGCCATGCACCCCATGCGGCCGGCAGCCACATGGGTCGCGCGCCCAAGCTGCGCAGCGCCTCCAGCGCCTCGGTCAACGCGACACAAGTATTCGCCGTCGCCCTCGCCATGAGCGACGTCGGCACTGGCTGTGAGTTGGCTCCGCCACCCCATAAGGCGGATTGCTCCCTAATGCTCCTGGTGCTTGTCAACACAGGGCGTGGTGAAGAAGGCGAGGGAAGCGAGGACGATGAGAGAGAAGAAGAAGAAGAAGAAGAAAATGAAGAAGAAGAAGAAGAATGTGAAGAAGAAGAAGAAGATGATGATGCTCGCCCGCGGTCCGAGAAGAGCAGCTGGAACAACTGGAACAACAAGTCGATCAGCTGCGGGCCGACGGTTAGCATCGCAACGCCGATCTCGATCCAGGTCGCGCTCCTGCCGGCATTCGCCGGATCGTCACTCGAGTTCGTAAAGGCCGAGCTCCCGCAGCCATGCGAGAGCCAGGAGCGCTGCTCGCGCGCCGGAAGCCCTGGAGCGTCGCGTACCAATGCCGCCGCCCACGCGGGCGGGCCAATCGGCCAGGCGCCGCCTGCCATGAAACAGTTTGTACGCCAACGCGCACTGCCTCGGCACGTAACGATCTGGTCTCCAGCGAGTGGCGCAACGCGGCCCGGCGCATCCATCGCCTTCATAGAAGGAACCGTGAGGTCGTTTGCAGGCCGCTGCGCGCGCCCTGCCGGCGTCCACGAGAGCGTGGCAGCCAGGACGACGGCATCGATAGACTGCGGCAGCAGCGTCGGCCAGCCCGGCGAAGGTCGTGCGAGCGTAGCCAGAACCGACTTGCTGCTTGAAAGCGGGCCCGGAAACGCGCCGCAAGCACGCAGCTCGATGAAGCTCGCTGAGACGTGCGCAATGTGCGTCACGCTCCTGCTCAGAATCAGCAGCTTCGCCTTCGAAAAGAAGCTCACGCTCGTTGTCAAGCTCCTCTTCACGCGCAGCTGCTGCTGCGGCAGCAGCAGCGATGCGCATCCATTCACTATCATCGTAGCGCGGAGGAAGCCCGCGCTCGCCGTGACAGCGCGCTGCAGGAGGCCGGCCTGCCGGCACAGCATCACTGTCAGTATCGACGTAGCCTGGGCGATCGATCCGCTCAGCAAGATCTTCGCCTTGCAGGACCCCAGGAAAAACTCCTCTGTGTTCCATCGAGGCGGGCTGATGCACAAGCTCCAGAAGGGGAGGAAGCGCGCACGATCCGCGCCGCACCGCCGCTCGCCGCGGGCACTCAGTAGGTTGGTCCATGTAGAAGAGCCGACCGCGCGCCCCCGATCGCTCTCGTGAGCGCTAAAAACCGCCTCGAATTCGTTGACGGGCCGCAGTCTGGCCAAAAAGGGCACAAAAAGAGAAATAGAGGCTCCGCATGCGCGCGTCGAGACGCGCAGACGATTGTCCAGTAAAGGTGGGGCCTCAGGCCATCTCCCCGCACCGCGCGCGGTCCTGACATCGCCCCGATCGGCGGTCAGACCAGCCGAAGCATGGCTCTTTACAGTACTGTAGTAGAAATGACCAAAATTAGCAAGGTGGGAGCGCGCGCCGATCAGAAAGAAGTAGATGAGGATAATGCTCCGGTTTGGGGCTATCTGCCCCAGCAAGTTGCGTCGAAATGCGACCTCCCGATATCTCGCGCCGGCAGCGGCGCCCAGGCGCGGCGACGACGTCGCCATTGAACTTGAACTTGAACTTGAACTTGTATTAGCAGTTAGAATCAAATTGAACATGTAATCAAACAGGACGCGCGGAGGAAAGACGCACATGGATGCCTTGATGAGCATAGAGCGCGAAGGGCAGACGCAAGCGGCGGCGAGGACGCGCG